ATATTATAGTTTTAGTGTTATTGCTGAAAAATAAGTACTGAGGATTGCTTTAAGAAGCTCAAAGTCAGTATACATGAAGATTTATTCTCCTCTTGGGAGGCAGAATGGAAAATTTGCTTCATCCCCTTGACATAATGGGGATTCCTTTTCATACAAAAAAAAAGGAGTGCATTTCCCTTTCCCACGGTCACATTGATGATAATGTTACAGTAACTGCTGCCAGCTGTGCCAAGAGCCGGTGATCCATGTTAACAGAAGTTATAAGCTTCCTTCTGCTGTTTTGCTAATAAAATGTACTAGTTGTAAATAGTTTTACTATCCACGAAGTGTATGTATGTGTAATTTGAAGTTGACGCTGTCAACGGAGTGCAAATCCAATTGCAAGTTTTATTAACAGGAATAGTCACTAAAGCAATGGTTAGCACAAGGACAATCAGGTACATACAGAGAATCCAGAGTTGTAGTCAAACAGGTGAGTGGACAGAAGGTATGCAGCAGACAGGAATAAACACTAAAACAAAGCAAGGATCAAATATGGCTAGACAAGGCAAAGAAAATGCATCAAAGTTCACAATCGGATAAACAAGACTCAGCAAAGAGGTGTGTGTGTGTGTATGTGCACTGTATTTAAAGTCAATCTAATCAGTCTTTGAGCAGCTCTGTGTGTGTAATCTGTGATCTGGAACAGGTTTGTGTGGTGCATGACTGGAACTTGTAGTCCATATACCAGTGGATTTTGAGTCCTTTAGCGATCTGCGTGTTTAGCAGCGATGTGTCAGGATGGATCTCTGGTGATTGTGACAGTATAAATGAGGCATTTATATTGTCTTACATATTTAATTTTGAGTTGGTGTTCATTCTGCTGTGGTGACCCCTGATAAATCAGGGATTAAGCTGAAGAAAAACGAATGAATGAATGAATGAATGAAGGAATATGTTGAATATTCTTTCACATGAAGTAAGAATGGACACAGCCATTGGAACCTTATTGGCTCAAGACTTCCAGTCTTATTCACTTCAATTGATTTTTAGCTATAAAAAAACTTTTTTTGCTGCTTGATGTTTTAAACTGGTATTTCTTATTATATTATTCAGATTTTTATGTATAATAGGCGACGTGGTGGCACAGTAGGTAGTGCTGTTGCCTCACAGAAAGAAGGTCGCTAGTTCGAGCCCCGGCTGGGTTAGTTGGCATTTTTGTGTGGACTTTGCATGTTCTCCCCGTGTTCGCGTGGGTTTCTTCCGGGTGCTCTTGTTTCCCCAAGTCCAAAGACAATTAGGTTAGCTAAAATTGTCCATAATGTATGTGAATGAGAGTGTATGGGTGTTTCCCAGTTATGGGAAACATATGCCAGATAAGTTGGCGGTTCATTCCGCTGTGGTGACCCTTGATTAATAAAGGGACTAAGCCAAAAAGAAAATGAATGAATGATTGAATGAATAGTTGTTGCTGAAGCATGTGATTCATATCTTTTCCAGTTATTTATGCTTTCAAATTGCATTATTGGACCTTTTTCTTTGCCCCATAAATTTTTGATTGACTTTAATAAATGGATTATTTTAACAAAAGAGTATATAAGAAATAGCAACTCCATTTATCAACATAAAAAATACTGGCAGCTCATTATTTGTTTTTATCAGTGCCAAAGTTTACATGAACATCCCAGACAACATATGACTATAAAAAATGTCTGTAAAAGTCATTTTGTTAATCTTTTGAGCATAAAAATGTGTCAGAGCACAGATCAAGCTCTCAAAATGCAATTCCAAAGCATAAAACACCTATGAATCAATAAGGGCTACTGTTAATCAAAGAGTATTATTTACAGCATTATGTTTTCTCTCTTTTTTGTTTGAAATATACAAGGGGTGCACTACACACACAAATAAATAATTTACTGTTGTTATCATAAATAATCTGTCACGTCAATACTGTAGTCTAAGGGCTCTATTTTACAGATCTAGGCGCAAAGTCTAAATCGCAGTGCGCAAAAGCATTAAGGGCGTGTCTGGATCCACTTTTGCTATTTTAGGGATAAAAAATTCCGCTTTGCGCTGTGGCGCATGGTCTAACAGGGTTGAGCATATTCTCTTAATGAGTTATGGGTGTGTTTTGAGAATAAACCAGTCAGAGTCTCATCTACTATTTATTTCCAAGAGTCAGTTGCGTCGCGCCATGACACATTTGCTATTTACATGGCAAACTTTGTGAGTGTAAAAAGTGAATGCTTCACTAGCGAGCAAACAGATAAACATACCATCTGCAGCAAGAAGATAAAAAATGAGCCTCCTCCAATGGCTTTTTTTTCACTTTCCCTTTTTGAGGATAAGGAAACGTGTTGTACGCACAGACATCCATTAGCCTGCATAATTATTTTAGTTTGTTAAGCACAAAGACTTGTTTTTAAAACTATTTCTAAATTCAGTTCTGATTTCCAGCAAATGAATAATGAACAATAGAACGAAGTGTGCTTAAAAAACTAGGTTATATCTAAACACACGTCCTAAGCCCCATATGGTCCAAAACCTGGTTTGATTTGATGGACAAATCTAAGCTTGTTTTTAATAAAACAAATATAAATATGAATATAATAAATAATACTAATGATAGTAATAATATTATATAAAAGCAAATTGTCATAAATAAACTAAAATAAGCCCCTCGAGATTAAGGCATGTAGGCAGTGATTTTTATATTTAAGTATAAAGTAATATGTTTGTATAATTTTAATCCTTTAATTCTTTTTCATTTATAAAGATATTTGTGTATTTCTGTACATCCTGCATGTTTTAAGCAATGTGTAAGCGAGGTGCACATCTAGCGTGCTCTGCGCTGGTTTTTGCTTTCAGCTGTGCTATTAAACAGTCTATTTTAGTTCCCTTAAAATAGCAACGCACCAACAACACGCCTTAGCACACCTCTTTTCTAGACAGAAACACCCAGGAGTCCACAAAGTGGCGCAAATGGATTTGCTATGTAAACAACGTGGTGGAAAATGGAAAAATTAAGGTTGCGCTAGACTGAAAATAGCAACACGTCAGGGCAAACAGGTCTTGCGCCCTGTTGCGCTGGGTGTAGGCTGTGTTAGGGCCCAAAGTCTGCAAAATAGCACTGTTGCTATCTGGATTATTTTCATTACTTTTCCTCTCACTGGTCAAATAGTGGCTTGTATGACGCTGCTCCTGGAGGACATGTAAAGTGAAGGTTTTAAAGCCGTGCTGTGACGCCATTGGTCTGACAGTGGAAACACAGCTTGATTTTGGCCTCACTGCTCCAAGTCTGAGGCTACTAGCCCCGTATGGCCCGTATAAATCCTGGTTTGTGTTGAGCCAACTGTGCGCGTCCAGCATCCAGCTGGTTGGTTCAGTAGCACCAGTACACTTACTGCACACCAGCTACTATATATATATATACCTTCTCTCCCTCAGTCTAATTGGTTAGCGACGTCACCAACCAGAGCGAGAGGTGGCAGTAATGCACCAAAAAGTTTGTTGTTGACCACCGTAAAACAGGAAGGAGAAGAAATTGTTATTCTCGCCATCATACGGGCTGTTTCTCAATTCCAAGAACGCAGAGAACGGACTTGTGTTCTTGTAGAGATCGGTCTTGCCAGGTGTCCTCGGAGGAACGAACTCAGGAGACAGCGAGGGCAGAGAACGTTTCCTTCGAGAAATGGGATGCTGCGTTCTTCCTGATGGTCATGTGACCTTCACGTGATTTAAATGGAAATTAATTAAACATTAAAGCCTGCATACAACGATTTATTGTTTTTCCCCTCTTCAAAATATATACTTTGCATAAAAACATTAGAAATATACTCTGCACAAGATAAATAAAACAGATTTTAATACGAATTTCAGCAAACAAACAACCCTTAAAGTGTTTATTCCTTTATTAAGATGTCCATGGTAATGTTTACTTTCACCGTTTCATTTAGGGAAAGTCCTGAGGTAAATAAGTGATATCTCTGAACTTTAATAATAAATCTAAATAAAATGCTGCGCTTCCCACCTCCAGTCGCAATGACTTCTGGGACTTCCAGAGCGAGTTTGGTGCTCAAGTCTGCATCAGTGCGTCCTCGATATCAAGAAGACATCCGGGAAGTTTCACGCGTCCTCCGTACTTGCGGTCTTGAGTATTGGAACTGAACTTAGGCAGCTGATGATGACGTTGCACGAGAACACGAGGACGCAAGACCGCATATTAAGAAACAGCCATGGATTTTATTTCATCTGCTAGACTAGGGATGTCCAAATTCGGTCCTGGAGGGCCGGTGTCCTGCTGAGTTTAGCTCCAACTTGCTTCAACACACCTGCAAGGAAGTTTCTAGTATGTCTAATAAGCTTGATTAGCTGGTTCAGGTGTGTTTGATTAGTGTTGGAGCTAAACTCTCTAGGACAGTGGTTTTCAAACTGTGGTACGCGTACCACCAATAATATCCAGCTGCAGGCCCGCAGGTATGCGGGCTTCCTCCTAGTGGTACGCAGAGGAATCGCTAAATAATGAAAGAAACAATTAACACTTTTAATCCTTTGATGCGTGCAATAACATCGATGTGATCAGCATTGGCTCTTTTGTGAAGCGTACGAGCACAGTGCTGTGCTTAGAGTGTTTATTTTAGTGCATTGTGTCATAAGCTGCTAAAAACCAGTTTCCGAGGTTTAAGAATTGATTCTGAAGTAGAGATTTGAATGACATGAAAAGTGCTTTCAGCGAGGATTAACGTAACTGGTAGACGTGGTGCGCCGCAATCAAAATGGAAAACCAATCAAAAGCATCAGAATAAAATCGCTTAAATAAATGGACTTAGCATAAGGCATTGTGCATATCAAAAACAGGCAAAGCAACAAATGAATATTATTCAACATATTTAAATGTGACCCCTTTTGTAATCTTTAACATTTTCATAAATAACTGTAATTTAATTACAGTAAATGTTGTAAATGTGAGTCTTATGTTGTATCTTCTTTCAGCCGTTCTCTGTCATTTCATCTTGCAGAGGGACAGAGGAGGTCTCCTCACACTACAGAAGAAGTGGACGTCCTTTCTGAAGGCACGTCTGGTGTGTTCTTTACCTGACTACGAATTTCATTTCAACGTGTTGAGGAGTGTGTTTTTCCTCGAAGGCTCCAGCTCTCAGGACTCTGCTTTCTATGGCATATTTGGCTTGGAATGGTAAGAGCACTTTTTCTTTTAATGTTTGTTTTGCATTATTGGCTATGTGAGTTTTATCGTTAGTGTCTTTTATTTTTCATGTCATCTGATTCTCCTTAGAAAGGTTGGATTTTAGTGACTCCGTAGGTCCTGACGCACCAACCCAATGGTGGCTTTCATTGAGTGTGGGTCTGTGTCGGTCTGGAACACACTAAATGATTTTCAGATCTTTACTGATTTTAAAATGATGGGAGACCAGAGACATTTGGACAGTTTCAAAGAGTTTTTACCATGATGGGGATGATGATCTTTACTCGGGGTTGATGATCTTTACTCAGATTGACATAATCATTTGGCTCTTCTGGTTCTTTTCTGCTGGAACAAAAAGGACAAAGTAGAATTTGAGTCAAATGTGTTGCCATATTTTTTAGTCTTCTCCACTTTTGGGATACTTTTTAATTATGAAAGCACACAACTTCCACTTGTAAAGTTGGCTTGGTCTCACTGACTATTATGTTTTTCTGTCAGGGTTAGCCTGAGTCAATTTTGATATTACAGTTGAGGATTTTGGGGATAAAAAAGTTGGTTGCTTCAATCCTTAAATCAGACCTCCTTGATTGCTAGGACTGCAAATTGGGGTTAAAAGCTCGACATTTACAAGAGCATGTTAGATCTTAGTTTTTATGGTGTATATTGGACTTTACTGGACGCTATTAGGGGCTTTTGGGTGGTTTAACATGTTAAATTGTCAGCATCTATTAGCACCAATGCTGTTGGTGCGTGCGTGAGAAGTTTTAGTTTTTTTAAACAAATACGAATAAAGAATATCAAAGCAAGCAAAGAATTCAAGATGGCAAAGGCATCTTCACTGAGCACAAATTAGTATTTTTTTGTCATTATTATGAATTTTTACAACAGACAAGCACATGTTATAATGTATTCATAACCGCGTTTGTGTTTTACTGTCATGTTTTTAAAAAACGCTATAACAAAAAATGCTAAATTTCACTCTTTATAATCCATAATAATACCTGTATAGCAGTCTCACAACATTCTGACACTAGCAGTTACGATCTTATTGCCACATTAGATTGTTATAATAACATAATATACGCCTTCAGTGATTTCCTGAAGATAAATACCAAAAAGTAATACAACTGGAATAACTGCAGTCGCGATCGCGTGATCTCATATGGAGCAAGAGATCACAATAACATATGATGACGTGTGCAGGTGCTATAGTGCTGTCCCAGTTCTTAAGGGTATATTTTGAAACCCTTCCTCTTCACACTCAGTTTTAAGGGCCAAGGGGAAGGGGTATAAAAATGGAATTGGGATTGGGCCTATGGGTGGTCGTACTTTTTCGTACAGTGTGCCTAAGCTATGGAATGCCACTTCTCTGGACTCTTTTAAGAAACTTCTCAAGACTCACCTTAATTATTTTTGTTAATTTAATCATCCAATTATACTCAATCGTTCATATTTTATCGTTTTACTGTGGTCTTTTTTTTTTTACTTTTTTTATTGTTCTGCTTTGTTACTGTTTGCCTTGTATGCCTTGTTGCGCTTTGGGTCTGAGAAAAGCGCACTACAATTAAAATGTATTATTATTATTATTATTGAAGTCAAGCCTGAATGGCTAATCCTACCACTGCCTTTGTGATAGTATGCAGGCAAGGGGACCAAAAGCTGCTATTTGATTGGCTAAATCGTGATTCACATGACCTAGTTATCATTACAGGTTTTCCAATGGTAAGTGAAACAGACATTTTCATTTACCCCAGAATGAGAAATCTCTGCTTAAACTTTTCAACAAAAGAAAACATCCTCTTAAATGATCCTGGCAGCTGTGTGCGGAAGCTTGAAGTTTTGCGTTGCTGTGCATGCAAATAACACTTCGGTCAATAGTGATTAAAAGACGCTGCCAGGAAGCATCATGTCATTTAGCTGTGACTGCCAGGTTTGCTGAAATGAATTTTGCCTGTTAGTAAGTTCATCTGTCAGCCCAGATGCATTCCCACTCTTATATCACATGAGGCGACAACATTTACAGTCCACCAGGATCATCAGAATGAAATCGCTGACACGTCCTCTTACCGCCTGGAGTGGAGAGCATGTTTAATTCATGAGCAGGTCACATTCTCTCAGGAGATCTGAGGATTTGCTCTGGACACGTATACAGAGTCGCCATTGACCAAATTACTTTGTACTTTGAAGCTCGAGGGCTTCTGTGTCTTTCAGCACGGCAGTTAAGCATTTTCTTTTCATTCAACTGCTTCCTTTCACACTTTTCTTCAGAGCTAAACTGGTTATAGCACATAGGTCAAACACGCTTTACGTCTGCCGTTTTGACTGACATGACAGGCCTAACGCCCTGCTGAAACCAGAGGGGTGTTTCTGATGAGCTGCCAGGCAATCAGTCTGTGGGTTGCAGCAGCCTGAGGTGAAAACCGCAAACATGCTGCATGAGTAACAGTGATGAATGACGGGACAGGCGGGACCATAATGTTTGCTAGGTTTGAAAATAATTAAGGAGAGAGAGCGAGAAATAAAGTGAGAAAGAGTGCGTCAGCTGAGCTCTGGTGACCTGATCATGCTGACCTCCAGGGTAAGGGTGAACGGCTGTGGTGTCACTGTGTCATCGCTTTGGGTGTAAAGTTTACATTGACGTGGGTGTTTGTTTTCCTGAGTATTAGGCAAGTCTGAATCAGACCAGAAATCTCCAATGAAAGACCTTTTCTCTTAAAGGAACAGTTCATGCAAAAGCTGAAAATTGTGTCGTCGGGTGTATCATTTTGATTGACATGTTGTCCTTTATAACATGTGCAAATGAGTTATTTAATATAATACCCTAGGCTGCCAGTTTCCATAAAATTATTGTTTATGTGCTGTTAAAAGTTTTATTGACAGTTTTATTGATGGATGCAGTTTGTGGATAATCTACAGGGTGGGCCATTTATATGGATACACCTTAATAAAATGGGAATGGTTGGTGATATTAACGTCCTGTTTGTGGCACATTAGTATATGTGAGGGGGCAAACTTTTCAAGATGGGTGGTGACCACGGTGGCCATTTCGAAGTTGGCCATCTTGGATCCAACTTTTGTTTTTTCAATAGGAAGAGGGTCATTTGAATAAACATCAAATTTATTGGGAATTCCACAAGAAAAACTGTTTTTTTTATTTATTAATATTATTGGTGTTTAACAAGACAATACATCAAAGTATACAATACAACATAGGAAAAATAACAGATTGTCTTATTTTTCTTATTTTCCCAATAACCCCTAAAAAATAAATTAAATACATATATGAATTATAAACAAACATATCCTCTGAAAGAAAAAAAATGAATAATAATAAATTAAAAATTCAAAGAAATTATAAAAAAAAGATAGAGCAATTTTACAATTTTAAGAGCAAAAAAATAAATAAAAAAATGAAAAGTTGACATTAAGTGAAACGGAGGGTCTGACACAGAGGCATCCATTTGCAGTATATTTATTAAACAGAGTTTAATAACAAACAGCACACAGATGTTAAGCATGTGCAAACTCACATAAAACACAGTTGTAGTTAGTCGAAGGGCTGGCGGCTGGCAAACACAAGGTGAGTATTCAGGCATGGGTCAAAGGCAGGCGGCGAGGATCAAAGTCAGGATGCAGGCTAGAGTTCAGGGAAGGCAAAACAGAGTCGAGATAGTAGTGATGTGACGTCGTGCATCGAGGCTTCGAAGCATGTATCAAAAAAACGATACATCTTGCAGTGAAGCAGTGTACCAAAGCTTGATTCGTTTTGCCATCATCACGTGATCAGTGACGTCCGAAGCTTCATTTTTGCCTATACCCACGTGACTGCTTCGAATTTTGATTCAAAGGTTTAAACACCCTCATGGGTTAGTAAAGTGTATAGCGAGAGATTAGGCGTCGATTACATACATTTCTATTGTTTCAATGCACTGCACCTGTCTCACACACCAGTAATTAAACCAAAATACAATAGTAATTAATAGTAAAAAGGTTTTGAACCATACTACAGTGTATTAGCGTATTTTTTTTTACAACTATCTTTAAAGAAAACCACTGCATATCGTAGTATAGTGTTTAACAGAGACCAGCTGGCAAATATCGCCCAAACACCTCACTCACATAGCCTCCTCCTAGAGCATTCGCCTCCCTTGCAGGAATCGCTGGTTTGATCCCCGCTTGGAACAAGATTAGTTGTAATATGATAAACTTTTGAATACCTTGGATGTTACTACAGTCATCAGTGGTGTAATGTAATATGTCTTATCTGTAAAAACTACAGTAATTGAATAATTTGTTTATATTGCTGTTGTTGTATTACTACATGAATGAGTTGGTCAGTTGTGAACATTTGACTGTCAACACAGTGCTTTCCCACACTTTAACCAGAAGAGGTCCTCATCGAGCTCTGATTTAGAAAGCTTCGAGTAACGAACCTTTTTCCAATTCAATTGAGTTGAGCACTTCACTGGTTCAGAAAGCTTCATTTCACCATCACTACCAGATAGTTCAAAGTTGTCAACAGGGAGAGCAGGAAACGAGCAGGAGTGTTAGCCGGGGCAGAACAAGACTTCACACTGAACTGGAGTAAGAGTGTGGCTTATATAGGTGAGTGTGGGTCGTTAGCGGGATGAGGAACAGGTGTGTGCGCTTGTCAGTTTAAGTGGATGATGTAATGTCTAGAAGTCCGGTGATGATGACCTCTGCTGGCCAGAGAGGGGAATGACTGGGACCGAGTCGGTGACATTAAGGAGTCAATATGTCCTCTTTTCAATTATTTACTGTGTATTAGATCTGATATCAACTGAGGGTAAGCCTTTGATATAGTCTAAAATAGGGTTCCAGGTCTTGTATAAAGATTTGAGAGATCCTGCAAGTAAACATCTTAATTTCTTAAGTTTTATGTAACTAAAGATTTCTCTGATCCACATGTCATGTGATGGAGGAATCACCTGTTTCCATTTGATAAGAATGACTTGTCTAGCTAAAAGAGTAGAAAAAGCAATAACCTGGCGAGATGCAACAGTCAAGTCAACTCTCTCTGAAATGCCAAAAAGAGCTGTCAAGGGGTTAGGGTCTAGATTCATGTAAATAGATTTATTAAGTGTGTCAAAAACACTGGACCAGAAATTTTTCAATTGGGAAAACTCCAGAACAAATGGACATGATTGGCAGGAGACTGCTTACAACGATGACAGGCATCACTTCTATCAGGGAAAAATTTGGCTAATTTGGAAAAAACAAAAAAACAAAAAAAACAATGGTTTTAACGTAAATTCATTATTTCAAGAGTTCTGAATACTTATAAAATGTGTTCAATGTGCTGCCCATTGTGTTGTGTTGTCAATGCAACCCTCTTCTCTCACATTTCACACACTGATAGCAACACCACAGGAGAAATGCTAGCACAGGCTTCCAGTATCCATAGTGCCAGGTGCTACACATCTTGTATCTTCACACCATAGACAACAAAGATAGTGGGCCCATTCTTCATCAATGGAAACCTCAAGGCCACTGGATATTTGAAGCGCATAGTCTAACAGGGTTTTGCTTATTCTCTTATTGAGTTGTGAGTGTGCTTTGAGTAAACCGTGTATTGAACCAATCAGAGTTTCATCTCCCATTCAAAATAATAGTCAGTTGCGTTGCGCCATGATGCATTTGCTATTTACATGGCAGACTTTGTAAGTGGAAAAACTGAACGCTTCACTAGCGAGAAAAAACAGACCATCTGCAGCGTGGGGATAAAGAACAAGCCTCTTCCATTTAGCCTCTTTACTTTCTCTTTACTTTATTTTTACTCTGTACTTCTTTACTTTGATGGATAAGGAAAAGGAGAAAACTCACTCCACTGAAGACATCGATTAGCCTACATATTTAATTTCATTTGTTAAGCACAAAGATTTGTTTCAAAGCCATTTCTAAATTCAGTTCTAATTTCCAGCAAACACTGAACAATAACAACGAAGTGTGGTTTGATTATATAGAAACACACGTCCTATTCTTATGCCTCATATGGCGAAACGTCTCCAAACCTCCAAACGTCTCCATACCTCCTTTTTAGAGCAGCACACCAATAAAGTTCACAAAGTGGTGCAAATGGATTTGCTATTTACATGAAAACATGAAAATGAGGGTCACACCAAACATGCTTTACGTCTTATTGCGCCGGGTGTATGAAAGAGTGTATGAAATGTTCTGCTGAGGGTCAAAAACTCCTTTAACAGATAATAATCAGTTACTTCTAAATTCTGATGTTTTTGAAATGTCAAATATTGAGAACAAAAGTACAAAAAATGAGGTTATTCATGGCCTCTTTAAAACCTGGCTTTTCAAGACAAAATAGCACAACATGTTTTTACTCTTCCAAGGTCTTTCTATTGTTGAGCCCTGCATATGAATGCTGAATTGTTTATTTTATTCGTAGCCAAAGTTATAGATGTGTGGGGGAAGAATTGAGAGATTGAAAGATGGTGACGATTCTGGGGGCCCTGGTTGGGAGGGGTCGCAGCGATTTTAGTTCTTCACCTACTGTAGGCGATATTATAATTTCAATGTCATGGAATTGGATTTTGACTGGAATATAAAACAAGTTGTTTGGAGAAATTTTGAACAGTTTCTAAAACTCTTGTATCATTGCATGGAAGAGAGCAGCTTGGACATTCTGCTAAATATACAGTTGAAGTCAGAATTATTAACCCTCCTGAATTATTAACCCCCGTGTGTACTTTTTGCCCCAATTTCTATTTAACAAAGAAGATTTTATTCAACACATTTCAACTATCAAAACTATCAAAACATAATAGTTTTAATATCTCATTTCTAATAACTGATTTATTTTATCTTTGCCATGATGACAGTATTTATATTTTTTCTAGATAATTTTCAAGACACTAGTTTTCAGCTTAAAGTGACATTGAAAGGCTTAACTAGGTTAATTAGGCAAGTTAATGTATAATGATGGTTTGTTCTGTAGACTATAAAAAATAAATATACCTCAAAGGGGCTAATAATTTTTACCTCAAAAGGGTATTTTAAAAATTAAAAACTGCTTTAATTCTAGCTGAAATAAAACAATTAAGACTTTCTCCAGAAGAAAAAATATTATCAGACATACTGTGAAAATTCCCTTGCTCTGTTGAACATCATTTATGAAATATTTAAAAAAGAAAAAAGGGGCCTAATAACTCTGACGTCAAATGCATAACCTTTGTATTCTATGAAAAAAAAGAAAAAGCATCTCCTGTATATTTGGAATGACACTAGGAAGTGTAATTGCTAGATAAACTGTAGAGTACTATTGGAAACGATTCTTTCCTATATTTCCACTTTTTCCTTTATAATCACTTATTATAAGTGTCCCTTGATTTTTATCACTAGGTTGCACTTGAGGAGCTTTGTCTATGTTCCTGTCTCACCCCTTTCACCCACTCACTGTCATCCCTCACCTCTCTTGCACACTTTTTGATAAATTTGTAATCTATTTTTCGTGTTTCCATGGTTACACAGTGGGCTTATGAGGGTTTTTCGCAGGCATGCCAAGACCTTGAGAAACAATGAGCGCAGCGCAGGCTGAGAGGCTCTTCGCTTAATAAACCCATGCGTACACCAACTGGAAAAACTAGGCTGATTCACAGCTTTCATGAATGTACCGTCTATTCACAAATCTTCTTGGAAGTATAATGGAAAGAGTGGGCGTTGGTATAGAGTAGGATTTCTTTCTACTGCTCTGAAAGAATACTAACCAGTGCTTATACCTTTTTTAATTTTTCAGGAAAAATGTCAAAGCATCTGCTATCTGCCAGTACTCAGTTTCGGATATCCAGTGGGCCTTTGATGGGCCTTACATGGAGAGCAAAGAAGACTCCAACTCCAAATGGACTCAGTACACAGGGAAGGTGCCAGAACCGCGACCCGGCTCGGTAAGCCCAATGGAAGCAGTACTGGATTACAGCTAAACTGATCCCCTGTTCCGTCTTACACTGGTTTGATTATCATCATCTCTGAAACTCTGCCTGCTTGCTGACTATGACAGGAAAGCCAGCATTTCATAAGTCAGCATTTCATAAGTGGAGCTACTAAAGCTCTCTAATAGCTGTGTGGTTTTGACACAAGTCTCTGCTTCAGACAGCACACAGAGGTACAGGTAGTGTCATTCTGGTTTTATCCAGAAATCAGAAGCTGATGAGCAATTTTGCAGAGTGCATATGGAGAAAAGGGCTTATTTCATCAAAGCTTTTTTTTGCCATGGAGATTAGTGTCAGGCGGAAAATCTTGGCTGATTGGGTGCATTATGAATTGTAAATCTGCGATAAGTCTAATGAGCAAGTGAGACGCTTTACAGTATAATTGATGTCTTAGAAACATAAAGGAAAGGATCATTTAAGTTTCTTTGGCCTACCTTACGTTTTTACACAAGCTGTCAAGGTATGGGGTGAATGGAGAGGAGGCCAGGACCCAAATGCGGAAAATGAAGGATTTATTAAAAAAAAAAAAAAACTCAAATCTCCCCATGTGGGGAAAGCATGGCATTATATTACACACTCAACTAGACTTCACTTGATTTGGTTCCTTGCATGACACACTACATTAAACAACTGTTGTAGACCAGACATCAACGGACCTCATACAACAGCAAGAGAAAGCATACAATCAACAACGGACCAGCACAGAACAGAGCACACTAGGAGAATAAATAAACAAGGTGGGTGGGACAAGACACTAGACAAAAGAACACATAGTACAAGAACACAACACAACCATGTGCTTACATACAAACAGGACTAGAACACACAGCCAATGAGAGAGCTCATTGACTGCAGGCTCACATAAAACAAGATACTAAAGCTTGTGGTTACGATGTAAACATGAAACAGAACACACGAGCATACGATAAATAAAGATACTGTGCGCTCACATATGCGACGTAAATGTTCCCTCCCAGCGCCATCTGAAACCGAAACCAACTGAAACGCTGAAATGAGCATCACATTGCAGACAAAAACACGAGGACAAGAGGGCGCACCCATACCACGTCCGGACCTGGCGGGCCCGCATCAAGTGTAACCAGGCAGGCACTCACACAATGATAAGGACAATGACAAGAAAGAGGTACTCAACCCGAGAAACCTCAAGCCGAGCACCACATATAACACATGACCTGACTAGTGTTAGTACTCTGCCACCAAAACAAGAATTAACAGGATTGGAGTGGCAGAATCCAGACACAAGACTTCCAGTAAGGTGACATTCCATGTCCTATGAGCCAGTTTCTGTGCCCGACGATCGAGTTGGCATAGTCCTAACCTTTGACCCACCACCTGTTCTACAATGCACCGGCCCATTACGACTCCCCCTGTAGGTGGTGGGCCCGCAGGAGGATGGTCCCATGTTGCTTCTTCAGGCTAAGCCCGCCCGGGTTCAGTGGGACATGATTAACAGATTACACACAGGGGTGAGACACAGGTGGAAACGCTGAACACCAACAAATGGCGGGAAAACAGAACAAAGGAATCACATGACATAAACAGAAGCACATGGAGCGCAGCACATGGGGAAAGCACATGACACAAACACACAACCCTGACAATACAACGGTAGTTGAAAGGTGTTTTTCAAATTAATCAAAGCATTAGAAACAAGTGTGCCACATGCCTGCTTTTGAGTGAAGAGCTGCGTCCCAAATGGCACACTATGCACTCATGCACTATGTACTTATGCACTTACACACTCAATAGGATAGTATATGTAGGTAGTGTCATCCCAAATGGAGCACTAATGTTTTTTACTAAGCGGAAATTCAAACCGTTTCCCTGATGACGTTTGACGGTTGCCAAATCAGTGAAATAAACGACCGAATTATCAAATAATACCTGCCGTGAGTATAACCGCATTCACCATCGGGAGGCGCTATAATCACTCTCGTAGGAGAATTTTGCTTCACCATCCAAACTAAATAAAGTAATCCAACATGTGCGCCCGATAGCTTCACCCCTTCCGCCACATGAGTCCATTATTACACACTTTATTTTAGCGGCTGAATGAGTGCATCATTCGGGTAATTAAAGTGCACTTATTATTTTTAGGGTTTTCAGTGTGAACACACTACTTACACTATTTATACTACAAATTGGCGTAGAATAGTGCATAAGCGATTTGGGACGCAGCTCTAGTCTTGGCCGTTAGATCGCCCCCCGGGGGCTGGCTGCAGTACAAGTTATAAAGCCCGCCTCCTCCGTGTTAATGAATGAGGCATAAGCCTACATATATAAAAAAAAAATAATGAATTACACTTGCAATAAAATGTCCCGAAAGATGGTTTTGGTCATTTAAGGCACTGGTTTTCAGCTGATATAGGTGCAGATCTTCATTTTTGTAAACAGTATGTTCTTAGCCATTAATTTAATACTATGAAAACGGGACGTGTCATCATGATTGACCGTTGTGATTGACAGTTTCTCTAAACAGACCGTCAGAGCTTTGGGAGGAAATTGAAGTGTTATTATTTGATTTCTGTTATTTTACCTTGATAAAATTATTTCAGCAGTAAACTATACTTTCTGACCTGCGGGATCTATTGGATCACTGTTTATTCGGTAAAGTGAATGCGTTATTGGGCTTTATTATTAGTTTGGTGATACACATCTAGCCAAGACGGGGAAAATACAGCTGATCACTATCTAGTAGTAATTCTCTTTATGGGTCTAAAATAACAATTAAGAAAGTAAAACTAATGTTAGCCGATCTCCACATTGATCTCCTGTAATGTTATTTGAACTTGATTTACAGGTCGTCTAACATTTTGGGTTTCGTAATTTTATCATATATATCATATCATATGCCTATATTATATAGACATCAGTTGATGTATTAATACTGCTAAGTTTATTGTACAAATTATTTTATGTAGTGTAGGGTTGAGATGTGTAAATATCCTGTTGATATCTTTTAAACACAAGATTTTTCCCGCATGTCAAATAGCTGTCCATGATGTGTTTATTTTGGGTCCAATCTTGACTTAACTGCATGCTTTTATAATATTATAATATAATAAATCTAATTTCTTTTAGTGCATCACAGATCAACATAGAGCAAAAGGCATCAACTCATCCATCAACCTGCCAGACGATGTACTTCACTTTGTCCGTCGCCATCCACTCATGTACAGGCAGATTCTTCCTCAAGGACAGCGCCCTCTTCTGTTCAGGAGGAATGTAGACTACACTAAAATTGCTGTACACACAGTGACTGGTTTAGATGGGCAGATATACCATATACTCTTTATTGGAACAGGTAAGTTACAGTGACCTCTGTTTAACTTTTATCTATCAAACATCTGTTTTAAAAGTTTTTTTTGAGTGGAGCAGAATCATGAAGGTCAAATTAACAAATCTATTGATGATTTACGGAGTTTATACAGTCCCTGATTTAGATGCAAGTATGAACCAATGTGGCATAGTTATGAACAACTTCTGGCAAAAAATATTGTTTATTCCAAGTTTATTCCAAGAAATTGACACAGCTTGACAAAACAACTTTTAGTTTTAATTTAGATTGTTCACTTGGGCTGAAAAACACCTTCAAACTCCCGTTGGTCTGTGGGTCAGGGATGTTTCTAGGTGACACTTTATTGCATGATAAGTAAAATAAGATATATCAGGTCTTTCAGGCCAAAATTAATGCATGCAGTGAATATCTTTGCTTTCTGTAGCAAATATCATTTGACAAACAAGTATAAAACAAGTATATTCAATGTAATGTATTTTATTTGATTTTGATGTTCCTCCAGATGAAGGTTGGCTGCAGCGAGCAGTGAAGGTTGAAGATCATCTGCATATCATTGAAGAGCTCCAGCTGTTTGAGGAGCCCCAGCCTGTGGACAGTATAGTCATCTCTAAGAAACAGGTGAGAAATGAACCTCAAGTTCACTAAATCCATAATTTCAAAAGGTCTGCAAATTAAATTCTGTTTGAATTTACAGTTCTTCCAGAAAGTATTCATATCGCTTTATGTTTTACAAATTTTTTATGTTACAGCCTTTTTCCAAAATTGATTAAATTTATTTATTTCCTCAAAATTCTACACACAATACCACATAATGACAATGTGAAGAAATATTTTTTGAAATTGCTAATTTATTTAAAATAAAAAAACCTGAAAAATCACATGCACATACTGTACGTATACACAGATTTTACTCAGTACTATGTTGATGCACATTTGGCAGCAATTACAGGCTTATGTCTTTTTGAATATGATGCCACAAGTTTGACACACCTGTCTTTGGGAATTTTTTGCCCATTACTCTTTGCAGTACCTCTCACGCATCAGATTGAATAGGAAGCGACGGTGTACAGCCATCAGATCTCTCCAGAGATGTTCAATAGGATTTAGGTCTGGGCTCTGGCTGGGCCACTCAAGGAAATTCACTGAGTTGTTGTGAAGCCACTCCATTGATATTTTGGCGGTGTGGTTTGGGTCATTGTCCTGCTGGAAGATAAACCGTCGCCCCAGTGTGAGGTCAAGAGCACTCTGAAGCAGGTTTTCATTCAGGATGTCTCTGTACATTGCTGCATTCATCTTTCCCTCTATCCTGACTGGTCTTCCAGTTCCTGCTGCTGAAAAACATCCCCACAGCATGATGCTAACACCATGCTTCACTGTAGGTATGGTATTAGCCTGGTGATGAGCGGTGCCTGATTTTCTCCAAACGTAATGCCTGGCATTCACTCCAAAGACTTCAATTTTAGTCTCATCAGACCAAAGAATTTAGTTTCTTATGGTCTGAGAGTCCTTCAGATGCTTTTTGGCAAATTCCAGGTGGGGAGTGGCTTTCGTTTGGCCACTCTACCATACATGCCTGATTGGTGGATTGCTGCACAGATGATTGTCCTTCTGTAAGGTTCTCCTCTCTTCATAGAAGAATGCTGGAGCTCAAACAGAGTGACCATCGGGTTATTAATCACCTCCCTGACTAAGGCCCTTCTCCCCCGATCACAGCCAGCTCTAAGAAGAGTCCTGGTGATTCCAAACATCTTCCACCTTCAGATGATGGAGGCCACTGTGCTCATTGGAACGTTCAGAGCAGCAGAGATTTTTCTGTAACCTTCCCCAGTGCCTCGAAACAATTCCTTTGTCTTCATGCTTGGTTTGTGCTTTGACATGCACTGTCAACCCTGGGCCCTGTAAGAATCAGCTCTTTGGTTTTAATCATGTTTAAACTTTGGGGATTCAAATCAAAGATTTGAACATGATTCACATAGAATTATTTAAAGCTTACACTTAACTTAAGTAATTGTCCAGCAAATAGAACGTTTAGTGTAAAGCAATTCTGTATTATATTATTACGTGGCCAACAATAACAATATAAAAACAGTATCTAATTATTTAATGAGCAAGGTAGCAGTATCTGAAGCTGAGGCATTAACTTATAAAGCACACAACACACCAACACTGATCTTAAAACGAAACAAAAGTTTATTGCTACTCTATAACACAAAGTACTAATCTACGTAAAACAAACAAATGCACATACATACACACACGCACAAGCAGTTTGAGGAGAGTTTTGACTGAGTGGATTTAACTTCTAGCCTTTGCTAAGTTCTTAGCATTGCAACCTGAGAAAAACCATAAAAGCAGAGAATTTCGCTATTCTTTACTACTTAAACATAATTCACACCAGTGTCAGCAATGGATAGAAACCTTGTTTGTGCTACTTGCGTTCTGATGGAATTTTGGTTTCCTCAACTGGTCCAAAGGGAAATCCCGGCGAAGCTGATTGGTCAGCGTAGCAACTTCATTGACGTGCTGGAATTCCCTCGACGGTGAAGAGTGGTTTCCTTACTTTTAGGGAAGCTTGGAGTCGGTTGCTAGGGATACGGATGTTGGACAAGTCGGCGTTCGAAGTCCTTCCTGGGTTCCTGTAGTTATGATGAGTTTCAGAGTTTGGATGTGTTGACCCGATGGCTCGTTGTTGCACAAGCAGATCGGGGGTCAAGCCGGCAGCAAGTAAAGGTTGTGGTCTGCTCCGTGATGTAACGAGGCTTCCGGCGAGGCGATGTAACGGCCACGGCACGAGAAGAGCGACGTCCGGGCAGCGACGGCGGTGACGACTGGCAAAGATGACCGGCAAAAGACGACGATGAAATTCCTTTGTTCAAAGTTTTATAGGCTTTGGTAGAGGCTGGGTCTACACAATACTTGTCCAATTAGATAAGGTGCGGGGTGGAGTCACACCCCAATTCTGCCCTCTAGGAGGCCGGGTTGACACCTGGTGTGGGTACTGCTTTGATAGCATAGTGGTTAAAATAAAGTCTCATAACATGGACACTTTTCATAGTATGGTTTCTTCATATAAACCAATGCATTTGAACTGTTCCTAGCTTTTAATCAATACCAAACATGAAGTATTTCACAAACATTCTGTAGATTTCATTTGTCACTAAGGGCTTTTGCTCAATAACTATCCATAACAGTTTTGTTAAACACATGGAACATGTACACACAAAAACCTACAGAAACATAAAGCAAACGTAAATTACTCAAATAAACTGTTTTACTTAAATGTCCATTAAACTTTGGAAGCGTTTCTGATCGCTTCTGTGTCTGCCTGAGAATGTGTATTCCTTGCAGATGCCAAAGGACATGCGAACCAAAAGGTACTTCTCAAAAACCGGTTTGGTGGGTTTTTGATTGTAGAGCCTCTTATTGTTTTAAGGTGTAAAGTTAATTAACACGCAACTGTGATGTTGACTGGCTAGTCATCCTGTGGATTGCCTTTTGCTGGGTGCCTGTGGATTGCTTTGAAAATGAAATCAAAGCTCAGACATGTAGGCACCAACCAATCTTTTAAGAAAAATATAGTCTGTGACTTGTTCGGTTCTGGAACGATCCGTTGACTCCCTACAGCCCTTATATAAACAGGTGTATGCCTTTTCAAATCATGTCCAATAAACAGAATTGACCACAGGTGAACTCTAATAAAGCTGCTGAACCATCTCAAGAATAATCATTGGAAACAGACTGTATCTGAGCTCAATTTACAGCTTAATGGCAAAGGCCGTGAATACTGATGTATATGTGATTTTTCAGGTTTTTTATTTTTAATAAATTTGCAACAATAAAGAAATTAATACATTTAATCTATTTTGGAATAAGGCTGTAACATAAAAAAATGTGCAAAAAGTGAAGTGCTATGAATACTTTCCAGATGCACTGTATATGTGTGTGACAGCCCACAATGTATATCTTATAGCCCACTTGAATGTTTTTTGTCAGATGAGTGTGTATGTAGGTTCGCCCACCTCAGTGGTGCAGCTGCCCTTGTCCACTTGCACCAGATACTCCTCGTGCTTCGACTGCGTGATGGCACGTGATCCCTTCTGTGCCTGGGATGGACTGGAGTGTGTAGACATCACATCTCACAACAGCAGGTATGAATGGTAATAACCCCTGTTATTAAGGTTGCCATAGAATTAATATCTGAATGTTCAAGGCTGTGAAAATAAGTCTTCAGCACATGGATACAGCCATACCATGAACCTTAAACAACATTGTTTCCTCATTCTTGTATATGTAAATCCTGTAATTTGAGTACATTCTAAACTGAGTGTAAAATCCTGGTGAGAAACAATTATATTTTTCTTTTAGCTTGTATGTGGGACTCTTATTTTGAAAACGGAAGAGACAAGAAGTGTAAAAGGCAATCATAGGTAAAGTCTAGATAGGATTTTCGTTTTTGCAACACTGTACAACAATAATTATTATTTTTACATTACTGTGATGGTTGGGTTTTGGGTTGGGGTAGTTGTAGATGTTAATAAAATACAATATATTAGGTAATTTAATGAATAACATAAATAACAATCACTACTACTGTATTTTTGTGATGGTTAGGTTTAGGGTTGGGGTTTGACGTTAATAAAATACAATTAATGGGTAAATTAATATATTATATGAATAATTCTCATTAACTTCTAGCCGCAAACATATCTCATCTAGCAACAAACGCAATCATGTGTCTCATCTATTTTCAGAACGCAAAATTTATGATAAATGAATTATACATTTATTCATCGCCAACCCATAGAGGAATAAGGTGTGTTTAAATGTACTTTTTGTTAGTTAAGTTTAGTTTAGTTTTGTCAGTGTAAAAAACACTAGTACACAGCTGAATATAAGAATATAAGACTGATTACACTCGCTACCCCTGAGGATTGTCAGAGACTGATTGCGCACCCTACTTAAGCCACACATTCACCCTTTCAGTTTGCTGAGTCTTGTTTATCCTGTGATATCCTTGTTCTCCTGTTTAGCGCTTGCCTTCTGACCTCTTGCCTGTTTATACGACTACGATTCTGGACTGCCTGTACATACCCGTTAGCACCTGTATTGACCATTGCTTGCCTGACCACGATTAAACCTGCATATTGAATCTTACCTCCAGTTGTGTGTGTCACCCCTGACGTTACAGAGGACTCGGCCAACTGAGAGGGTGAATGTGTGGCTTAAGTAGGGTGTGCAATCAGTCTCTGACAATCCTCAGGTGTAGCGAGTGTAATCAGTCTAGATGAGTAAGCATGTGTGTCTGGGAAAAGTCATGTATGAATATGTAGTCCAGGAAAAGGCGGAAGTGTAGTCCATGGTTATTGTGTGGGAACCAGCGATCTATGGAGAACGATCGCTGGTTATCGTGACACCTTTATGGGAGTTTTTGGAGAATGTATCTTGAAAGACTTTTTATTTTGTTTTAATTTAATTTTTTTGTAATTTTATCCTTCAAAAAAAGACTTGAATTACTAGCCAATAGAAGATTGTATAATAGATGGCTAAATTATTGTATATGATGACATGAGACACCTATACTACTCTTTTGTCATTGTAAATCTTTAAATAAATGTAAAAAAAATAAAATAAAATTAATATATAAATAATCATAAAACTGGAGAATGTTTTAATTTAACTAAGCCACAGGCCTACTATTTAGATATCGGGGAGCAGTTTAACATATATAATAAATGTACTCTATGGCACCTTTAACATAGGTTTGAATGTGTCTCTCTTATGACTGCTTGTCTACAGATTTTGCCTTCAGATTTAACAAGAACACATGCTATGATTCAAACATGATGTTGATAATAATCTGTGTGTTTTTGTACCACACAATGAAGTTTGAATATTTTGTTTTGTGCACTTTCACAACATGTCCAAAAGGATCACGTTCGCTCAGTAGGTGGAGAGCTGGTGGTCTTTATGTTAGTTTGAATGCTTTTAACTGCATGATCGTTTACACCTCAATAGCAATCTTGTCAAATATCGCTATGAAATGCATTTTCTACACCCATTGGAAGTGGTCAAAAGTGGACAAGCTCAAAACCTTATAGAGCATTTACATCTATAGTACTATCATCTACTTGTGATTGGGTTGACATAAAAATAGCATTAATTTAAATGTAATCTAATATAAACGTACCAATTTTTCATACTTAACATTATTTTGTTATAACGCCTATAATTCACTTGTTGAATGTTTCATCATCATTGTCTATTTATTTTAAATAATTCATTTAAACAATTAGTTGTTAGTTATCATCCAAAACATCAAAATGATCACACTGTGAACAATGAGTCTAATATGGACAAACCAACATTAGGGCCATTTTTAAAAAATAAATGTAAATGACACTTTTTAACCCATTAGTTGGGTTGGGCCATATTTGACACAACAATAAGTTGCAACATTTTTCTAAAAATTTTTGGAGTGCAATTTTTCAGAAGGTAATACTGTTAATATAGTGTGTTCGTATGTCTTCTTTCTATCTGCAGAGCCAATCTGACTCAGGATATTCAGAATGGAAACCAGGGCTGTGATAAATCCACAGCAGATGGTATGAACTACATTTGTTGTAGGATTCAGGGTTGAGGTGATGATTCAGTGCTGTTTTAGTGTTATTTTTAGACTATTGTAGTATTTCATATCTTGGATTGGCTTTTTTTCAAGTTTTAGTCATCAAGGTCCTGTTTACACTAGTGCGTTTTAATTTTAAAACGGCGTTTTAGATCAAAAACGATCTGCGTCCACACTAGCGCTTCACCTAGCGTTTCTGAACATATCTCCGTCCACACTACGCCACCAAAAACGTATATCACGTGACCATTCGTGCACTCTGGACATGCGCGTTCTAGTATAAACAGGAGGCATGTGTCTCGCTCGGCATTTGGTTATTGTTAGTCAAAAACGCCGGTTGAACAATGAATGCGATGGCAAAGAAAGCATGAGAGGTATTTTTGTGGACAGACGCAGAGGTCGAGTTACTAAACGTAACAAATGAATAACTGCACAATGGCGCCTAAAACAGACAATAGTGCAAACAACGCTCCCATTTCTGTGTCCATGTTGTTGTTTACAGTGAAGGCTGGTCTGCTGTCTTCCGGTAGCGTTAAAGCCATGTGTTATAGTCATGTGATAGGGGATTAGGGGCTTGACGAATAACGGAAAGATACGCAATGAAACAAAAGCCCCAATCAGCTAGCGAATCTCAGCAGCCCCGCCTCCGTTTTCAGATGTCTCAGTTTTTCCTCGTCCACACTGAGACGGAGCAACAGCATTTCAGAATGAAAATGGCCTCTCCAGCGTTTCCAAAACGCTCCATTTTCGGCACTAGAAAACTCCGGCGTAGTGTGGACGGATGGCGTAACCGTAGCAAAACTTATTAGTGTAAACGGGGCCTAAGGTTATATGTTGAAATTTATAATTAGAATTGTCCAAAGAATCACCCTTACTGCGATGATATAAGCAAGCTAATTAACCCAGAATGACTCCACTGTCCCTGTAACTGATGTGAGCATGTCATTGCTCTGTCATAGATCAAGTGTTACACCGCTCTCGCTCTGTGATGGCTGGCGATGACGTTCTGCTTCAGTGTGAGCTCAGCTCCAATCTGGCAACCCCTGAGTGGACACTGAATGGAAATGAACTGAAAGGCTACGGACTGGACTCTGGTTTCCGTGTGGGCACTGACGGTCTTCTAGTCATCGAAGCCCAGCCTTACCAGAGTGGTGACTACTGCTGCTTTGCTATAGAGAACAGTGTCCGTGTTCCTGTGTTGATCTACAGCTTGACAGTTCGCCAAGAGCTTCCAGTGCCTCCTCCTGTAAAGCCAACACAACCACGCTTCACCACAGAAATCTATTGGACCAGTCAGTCTTCCCAAAGCGACTCCGAGGAAGACTTCGACCCCACCCCGATGTCTCCTCGCTTCGAGTTCCTGTCCGTGAGGAACATGGAGGCCATGTATCTATCCTTAATCACAATCCTAGGAGGCTTGTGTTTCGTTTTAACAGTCGTCCTGCTTTATGTGGGGTTCTGTTTGCAAGGGCGGAGGGGGAAATACTCGTTACGAGCTGAAAAGAAGCGAGGTGGCAATATGGAGCTCAAGACCATCTCCAGCCACTGCAACGGGAAATCCGACGCTCATGATGGCCTTCTGCAGATTGTCCCAGGTGAAGCGTCGACGTCCCCTACTAAAGATCTTCCTCCTGCTCCACCTCTTCCACCTCCTCCAGAATCGGAGTTCATCAACGGACTCTCCGCCACTTTACCCAGCGTTTTGCGCAAGATGAATGGCAACAGCTATGTATTACTGAGACAGACAGATGGAGACACCACGTCTCCGCTCTATTACTCCTTCACAGAGGAGCTCAACAGGATCCTGGAGAAGAGGAAGCACACGCAGCTGTGTAGTAAACCTGATGAAAGCTCAGTGTGAAACTGTGTTTGAACTACTGGTGTCCTCTGAAGTGTTCAAGGGCAGTGCAAAGTCATTGCCCAATTTCCCTTTTTTACCCAGACTAACTTTAACAGGATGCTATTGAATAGCTGCAACTGCTTTTATTGGAAAATGGCTCTAAAAGGGGCAGACTGGCTCTCCGTTGACATTTCAAATGTTGCATTTTTGAGTAAGGAAAACTCTCCGGTCACAAAATAGCAAAGAACAAACACATAAGATGGAAATTCTACCTCAGGAATATATATTGCGCAGCTCTTTGCTTGTTTCTGCTAACATTTGTGTTGGAGTTGTACAGTCAGTGACAGTGTGAGCCCATTTTAGGAAATCAATTAAAAGATTCCGTTATGGACTTTTAATGGGCATACCGACAAGGATATTAAAGACTAGTTGCTAATGGAAGACTGAGGTTTACTTGCACAGGTCCTACTAGCTGCCCTCTGTTACATGAAAAAGCAACAAAATGAATTCAGATTGAGCACCTGGATGGACCAATTTGTGTAAAAATCTAGTGCTGTGGGGCACTGAATGTCTTCACTTACATTCTATATTTTAATGTGACCCTGGACGACAGAAACCAGTCATAAGAGTCATTTTTTTGTAAATCCAGGTTTATACATCATCTGAAAGCCAAATAATTGAACTTTATTCATTTCATTCTTGTATAGTTTTTAGGGTAGGACAGTATTTGGCTGAGATACAGCTATTTGGAATCTTTGGGAATCAACTATTTGGAAGTTTTAGGGTTTTTAAAAAAATAATACTGTGAAAATTGCATTTAAATATGTCCAAGTTAAGTTAGCAATGCATATTACTAAATAAAAAAATATGTTTTGATATATTTACATGTTAAAATTTACAAAATTACTTCATGGAATACGATTTTTACTTAATGGCCCTGTTTCAGAAAGGAGGTTAAGTGAAAACTCAGATTATGTTAACCCTAAAATGAGAGAAACTCTAGGTTTTCCATTTCAAAATGGTAGGTTTGTCAAATTTGAGAAAGCAGGGTAAGTCAAGCCTGTTTCTGAAAGAGCGGTAACTTTAACTCAGAGTTAGTTACAGTGGTAAACCCAACCTGGTCAGGAGCAGGTTATTATTCTCTAAACTCGTAGATTCTTTGGGTCTCCTCCCCTTTTTTAAAAATGAAGCGGTATTTCTCGCCATAGCCTTACGCTTCTACTCACCTATTGTTAAGCTCGTTTTGGAGATGCGCATAAAAAATCAGTTGATGAAAACGGCAAGATGCACAGAACTTCTATAAATACGCATAAAAACATGCGCATAACTGTGTAGGATAAACTTCTTATTTGATAAGAAAAGTCTCACATGAAACTTCGATGGAAACACTTTTACAGAACAAATTCCAGTATGTGTATTAAAAAAAGTTTGTTATAAGGGATCCTATGATGAAGAAAATGTGTGTTAAAGGATAAACCAGCAGGCTGACCACTCTGTAAAACATCTGAAATGTTGTTTTGGTCATTCTAAAATGCCTCAACCGTTTCAGTATTAGTGTTAGTATATTAATATTATTTGCCTCCAGAGCATCTGGAGCTTGTCAAGAGCATCTGTTCTCTGCATCTCACACTTTCAAACGCCTCAACGCGTTCATCGTGTGTCCGCATTGTCCTCTGAGGTGAAAGTCATTTAATAAATAAAGAAAAGATTCACGCAGCTTCTTCTGCCGCAGTAAATTCTGTTTTTACTGTTGATATTTGGAGCCAGTTAATCAGGAAGTGACCATTTTGTTGACTCGTTGGCGCTGCTTTATTCACACATCTTTTATGTGATATTCCAGGTTTGCGCATAAAGTTAATTAGCATTTTTGGATGGAATCATAGCTATTACCTACATTTCAATCACACAAAGAACAAAGTCACGAGAATGGCTTGTCCTTTTTTAATAATTAATTAGCTTAAATTCACTGATCTCCGACAGGGATATATACTGTTACTACATTAATGGGATTATTACTCGTTCTATTTTTTTTTTAGTACTGCTTACATTCTAAATGTCATATCAACCTGTGCCACTTGATCAATAATAAAGGCAGACACACACGAGTGCACTTATACATCTGTCAAAAACTCAACTTTAAAAAATTGTATCTTAATCTGATCAACGTGTGTAAAAGTGGAACCTTAAATTAAACATTTCTACAGAACATTGAGTGAAGGTTATCTGCATTTTTGTTTTGTCAAATTTGTTGTAGAAACTATGCAGTAGCCTATTTTATGTAATTTAATGCAATTACATCTGAAATAACTTCAAAATACAGCCAATTCCCTACTTTTAGAAGTAAAAATTTAATAAACGTCACATATTACATTACTCATTTTATTATACTTAAATAATTAAATACTTTAAATGTAAGCTTGCACATTTACTTGAGCAGCTATTTTCCCACGCTAACTGTGTCTGTTTCACTGATGCAGCGATGTTGCTTTCTTAAATATATGATCATATTTGCTATAACACTGCATAAGCAGATCGAGTTCAGCTGGAAAAAGAAGTGCTGCCCTCTTTTTTTTAGATATTGCCATGGTCACTCGTATTATCTGCGATCCATTGGTAATGCCTTTTTTATAGTTGCGGTGTGCGCACATAACTCTTGAGTTAGTCTCCTCAAAGTTGATAGACCCAACTCAGATCAGCTATTCTGAAACCGAAAACTCTGAGATTTTAATCTCTCTAAGTCAATTTTGAGTTCAAGTTTAAACTCCAAGTTGGTTGAACCTCCTTACTGAAACAGGCTTAATATTCTATAGATTTTATTATAAAATAAAAAGTATTTATTGAGAATTATGACACATACAGTGTATTGTTGGCTATTCCCAAAAACAAACCCTTGCAGCATAAGACTGGTTTAGTGGTTCAGGGTTACATACTGTATATTCTAATTTATGTCAACACTGACCATATCAATAACCATGTGTAGTAATAATAATCAAAATACAAAACAGCAGGGATAACATGCTTTGAAAACAGAACAGAAATGCACTTGATGGTACTAATATTGAAAATTACTATTACTAGTTTCACAGACTTTGGAACCCAGGATGATGACAGACAGTATTAACCACTAAGAAGCACTTTATGCACTGGTAGCATTTTTTTTTTTCTGTGAGGTGCTGCTTATTCTGACAGATCTAGAAGGGAATGGATTGGATGTTGAAGAGAGGATGATACTATAAGGACAGATATGATCAAACTGTGTTGTACTTTAAATTCAAAATGCTCGAAAGGGAAGGTTGCAGAATTTATAGCCAAGAGATGGACCATGAACTATGCCCTAAGACTGAAACTTCAGATGGTGTCTTGGTTTATACTTCTGAGTCAAGTGACCGGCGTAAAGGCTGATTTATACTTCTGCGTCAAATGCACGCGTATGCTACGGTGCAGCCTACGCGTCAACGCATAGCCCTATGCCGTGGCCGTCGGCGTCGCTGACGTGCACTTCTCAAAAAATGTGACTACACGTCACAACGACGCGTAGCGCAAGCTCTGTGATTGGTCGGCATGGTAGCGCTGACGAGTCAGGGCGGGACCGAGAGCCGCGCAATCAGCGCGAGCCTGATAGAGCGATTGTTTACAAGTGTGGAGCCCCGTGAAGAAGCTACGGATGGAAAGTTTTGTTTTGTGTTTACCTCATAGTTAAAGTTGTTGCACATCCGCCGGTTCCTGCCTCAAAATAAGCGAGTTTGAGCCACTTGTATGTCCCGGAAGCGTTCAGAAAGAACAAAACAGCAGCGAAGAAACTCGACACAGGAACATTAACACCTCACTGCCAACTAGCGTTTTGGAAGTGTTAATGCAGACCAACAGAGACAGCGCGTAGAAGTATAAATGCACAGCTACGCGCGTTGCATGCGCCATGGGTTAAACCTGGTTTATACTTCTGCGTCAAGTGACCGGCTTAACCAACGGCGCATGCAACGCGCGTAGCTGTGCTGTTTAGTTTTTTCTGAATGCTTCCTGAATGTACAAGTGGCTCAAACTCGCTCATTTTGAGGCAGGAACCAATGGACGTGCAACAACTTTAACCATGAAGTAAACACAAAACAAAACTTTCCATCCATAGCTTCTTCACGGGACTCCACACTTGTAAACAATCGCATTATCGGGCTCGCGCCATTTGCACGGCTCTCGGTCCCGCCCTAACTCGTCAGCGCTACCAAGCCGACCAATCACAGAGCTTATGCTACGCATCGGTGCGACGTGTAGTTACATATTTTGAGAGGTGCACTTCAGCGACGCCGACGGCCATGGCGTAGGGCTATACGTCAACGCGTAGGCTGCGCCATAGCATACGCGTGCGCTTGACGCAGAAGTTTAAATCAGACAACATGCCCAAGAATTGACATGATTCCTCCTTCAGCAGACTTTAGAGTCATTGGCTGCTGAATAGGAAAAGCTGATGTTGAACTTAGTTTGACATGACCAAATATTACTTTTACAGTTAATATTAAAGGAGCTTAGTGAATCGTTGCAACGTAGTGAACTTGGGCTTCTTCTGGCAGTACATAAAGTAAGTGGGGACATGATGAACAATGAGTATTGTAACATGGTGATATTAGGGGGTTTAATTATCCCTTTACTTCCAGTAAGTCCATTAAGCCGTTGTGTAAATGTTCGTCCTGGAACAGGTCCAACTTCAGACTGCCTACACTTGCGTGCAAAAGCTTTTTGGCGTATCTCCCGCTACTTAAGGCGAGCGAAGCACCTGGTTCTGTCTGTTTAGATCAGAATATGCAGATTGCAGTGGAGCCGAGTGGGGAACATTAAGGCCACATGTTCAGAACAGAGCTGAGATGAGTCCTGCTGATAGTGTAGTCTGCTTTCTCCCTTAAACTTTGTTCGCATTCATTGTTTTTGTCTTGTTGAATGCTTCTGGATTGTTTGGTAGAGTACATCATGCTTAGATTTTACCCGGCAAAAAGTAAAGTTCTTCACATTAAATTCAATCAACATGCTTTCATGAACAAGGTCTACTTTTATAATGTAATATTGTTACAAGCTGTTCACACATTGACAATAAAAAGTAATTCATGACAAATGATGAACATTCTCACATACATCAGCTTTAAAGGGAAGTTCACCTCGAATTTAAAATAAATATAGAGGGTTCAAGCGCTCATGCTGCTTATGAAGTCAGATTTTTTTTATTTAGGAAGTCTGTAACTACTTTATCAACAAGGAAAATATCATTCTAGTCAGTTGCAGTGAATTCATTTAATTGACAAACACCATGAGTCACCTTTATAATAGTTATAGTACTGTACCACCTATAGACAGATCACATTATAATTGTACAAACTTTTCTGCAATGATATTGTGCATGTGCATGGCAGATTTCATTAAGATCAACCATTCATTTGTGAATTACAGGCTTTTTGGTATATTTAGCAGCACCCATTTTGTAGTGACTATATTAAAGCTTTCCAAAGCCAAAAGTTCAACTTAAAGTATTGATCAAGATCAGGAATCACCAAACTTGTTCCTGGAGGTCCGGTGTTCTGCAAATTTTAGCTCCAACCCTAATCGAACACACCTGAACAAGCTAATCAAGGACTTACTAGGTATACTTGAAACACCCAGGCAGGTGTGTTGAGGCAAGTTGGAGCTAAACCCTGCAGGGCACCGGACCTCCAGGAACGAGATTGGTGATCCCAATAGACAGTACAGAGATCACCACAACTGTTTTGTTGAGGTTGACCTAAAAACATACAGGACTAGTTTACAGTAGAAGGTTTTTTAAATAATGGTCGCTTTGTAATGAATGGTAATTGACCGGTGTGCTTCTAGAGCCAAAAGCTGCGTCCCAAATCGCATACTTATGCACTATTCTATGCCATTTTGTAGTATAAATAGTGTAAGTAGTGTGTTCACACTGAAAACTCTAAAAATAATAAGTGCACTTTAATTACCCGGATGATGCACTCATTCAGCCGCTAAAATGAAGTGTGTAATGATGGACACTTCACGCACTCAAAGGCCGCTGGTTTGCTCACGTAGTGGAAGGGGCGGAGATATCGGACGCACATGTTGAATAACTTTATTTATTTTGGATGGTGGAAGCAAAATTCTCCTACGAGAGGGATTATAGCGCCTCCCGATGGTGAATGCGGCAAAACTCACGGCAGGTATTATTTGATAAATTGGTCGCTTATTTCACTGATTTAGCAACCGTCAAATGTCATCAAGGAAACGGTTTGAATTTTTGCTTAGTAAAAAACAGTGTGCCCTTTGGGACGACACTACATACATGTACTATTCTGTTGAGTGTGTAAGTGCATAAGTACATAGTGCATGAGTGCATAGTGTATAGTGTGCCATTTGGGACGCAGCTAAAGTGTTCACAATTAGCAGATCTATTAAAGCACTGCACAACTGACAAGGTGTAAAACTCTATAGTGCACAGCAAATTCCTCTGAGTAAAATATACTCAGTTTAGATAGTATTTGGTCCCTCTCTAAATTGAGCTGATGTTATTCAAGTTAATGAGACACTGAAAGGATTAATTGGGTGATGATTGAGTACTGATGATGAACATCTGCTGTTAATAAGCAGAAACACAGAAGAGAAACACAACGCTACAACTGACTTCAGTCACAGCCTTAGCTGAAATCAGCTGAAATATAACACATTGAATCTCTTAAAATTTTAGCAGAGGATGATTAAGCAACTCCACAAACAACAGCTTTACTTTTTACCAACCTGCTTGCCCTTATTTAAAGAGGGACCAAATATTCTTTGAACTGAGTCAATTTTACTCAGAGGATTTTGCTGTGCAAAGGGCTAATTTCTTTCAAATTTCTCACAGACCTCTAGGAGCCTAAGTCGAACATGCCCACACTTTCCTTTGGACTATACTCTTTTAACTCTGCCTAATAAATATGCTGGAACTTGATTGGTGTCTGTATCTTTTGAAAAGTATCAAAGCCCTCACAGACGTTGGTGCTGCCTTGGACAAGGTCTCTGCATGCCGATTTTCAAGTCAGTATTTATTCATTCATTCATTCAACTTAGTTTCTTATTTATGAGGGGTCGCCACAGCGGAATGAACCGCCAACTATTCCAGCATATGTTTTACGCAGCGGATGACCTTCCGGCCACAATCTAATACTGGTAAACACCCATACACTCTCACATTTACACACACATACTGTACACTACGGGCAATTTTTGTTTACTCAATTCACCTATAGCACACGTCTTTGTACTGTGGGGGAAGCCGGATCACCCAGAGGAAACCCACGTGAACATGGAGAGAACATGCAAACTCCACACAGAAATGTCAACTGGCCGAGTTGGGACTCAAACAAGCAACCTTCTTGCTGTGGGGTGATAGTGCTAACCACTGAGCCACAGTGCCACCCTCAAATCAGTATGCTTTTTTATGTTGTTGTTTACATTTTTTTTTTTTTTTTTTGCATTATAGTAAAACCACACTATTTTTCACAGTGATTTCAGCACAAGCTCATAGATACATATATTGTGATGACTGGTGATGATACTGTACCTCATTTCATTTAATAGTTGTGGAGATTTTTGTAAAAGTGGCCACTTCCTACTTTTGGCCATACTGTAGGAAACCTGAATTAAAATGTCTACTTGTATTGATAACTTTTAATATTCAGACTCCAAAGTATCTGACTATGCCACTTTATTTCTGATTTGGTGAAAACCCTAACATTAGTTCACAAAACAAGCAGGGCTTAAGTCATGTATTCCAATTATAACTTACAACTTGAGTCTCGAGCAAGTGGTTTAGAAGTTATGAGCGACTCTGTTTTTTTTTTTTGTTGTTGTTTTTTTTTATAAATAATAATAAATTATTTAAAAATTATAATAAAAAATAAATAGATAAAAAAACAACAATAGTGCAATCTTATATACAGGAAAAAACAAGTCTACAATGTGCTGACCAGAGATAGTTTCCCGTAAAAGCTGGGCAATGGGGGTGGAGACTCAATCAGAAGGAGCAGGGTCAGGCTGAAGAGTTTGGACAATTTAGTAAAAATAGTGTTAGGTCGGTGAAGAGAGTACCTACCTTTTTTTTTTATTTCATAAAATAAAGAACATTTCTAATCCAACAAGTGTGAGAAGGAGGGTGAGGGCTCTTCCAGTTGAGAAGAATTAATCGCCTAGCCAGAAAGGTTAAGAAGGCTACAAAGGCTACAAAATGAGAGGGTAAAGTGTGGTTGGGTAGAAGAACTCCAAATAAACCAATAATTAGACATGGTGGAAAATCAACAGTGGTAATAGCTGATAGCAAGAGGAATATTTGTCTCCAAAAAGAAAGCAGGGAAGGACAGGACCAAAACATATGAAATAAAGTAGCTGAACCAGAATGACACCTGCCGCACTCAGGGTTAATAGACGGGTTGATGCGAGCTAGCCTGC